ATTCATGGAGTTTTTGGCGTATTGGGGCAAGTGGAAAAAAATGTATCCAACTACATGTATTTTCAGAGAAGGCTATTTGAGTAATATGTTTATCAGCATTTTCATAAGGCCTAGGAATTAGATGGCCATGAGAAGGGTTGCCATCAGAGGCATGTACAGCCATGTGGTAAGTTTCATCTTGTTGTTTCTTCATCCCATTTTCTTTCTAATGATTTTACAGTTTCCTGTAGCCTTTTCAAGATGGGTAAATTGAAATTTGCTATAACACTTTAAGCAGTCTCTTCCTCTCTCAATGTAGCTGGGCAATTATCTCTGAGGAAAATTATTAAAAACGCAGGCTTTAATCAGGGGGAGAGCAGAGCGTCACACAGAGCTGTGATGAGAGATGGTTTTTCTAATAAGATTCGCATAATTGTGTGACAGTGGTGGAATTTCTGACGATTGCATTATGATGGCAGAATCCGAAATTTCTGAAGTGATTCATAGAGTGATGCTGAAACCTAAACAGGATCACACTCTGTGCCTTAACATTTGGCCAGGGCACTTTTTACTTTTTGAAAAGGGCCATTCATTTAAAAGCAAGTTAGCACCCTTCTTCAATAATCCAAATTCGTTTAACACACTTTGGGGACATTATTTGGGCATTTTTCACAATTATTAAAGATAACTCACTTTCGTCTGTAGACTGTAGGTCACAAGCAAATTCAATCAATGGATTTGCCTCCCTTACTTTCTCAGATGAGTCAGAAGTTATTGGTCAAATGTGCACATGGCCTTTCCGCTAAGCTTAAAAACCCAAACAACCCGCTGAGAAGACATTTGGCCAATCTGATTATGTTCTCTATACTAATTGGTTTTACCTCTTCATTGAATTGAATGAATTGCCCGGTTGTTTTGTCACTGTGGGGACACAGCTTAATCCACTTAGAGTGAGGTACTTGTGCTTGGTAAACTATGGAGCTATAGAAACGTTTATCATCATTATTATCTTTTGGTGGTTTTTCATGGGTGAGAGTGGCTACTTTAGCCAAGCCAGCCCATCCGGCCCCCAAACTACCCTGGTAATCTTGTGACTGGTTTTTCCACCTCTACTTCTCTCTCCCCCAAATGTAGGCTCCAGATAGTGGCATCTCTAAAGGATGCGGAGCCCTGCTGGAAACACTGATCCTTCTCAATGAGTGTAGACTAAAATCTAGATCCTTTCCATCAGCTACCTGCACCCCGCCAGACCTCAGCCCCCGTCGCCATCCCCACCTTCATTTTGCCTCCTGCTCTGCTCAGCACCCTCACTCCACGATGGCCCACCGTCGGTTCCTCACTCCCCCAGGCTCCTTCCCACTCAGGGCCTTTCCCTCTCTTCCTCTTTTGTCTGGGATGGCCTTTGTGGGCTGGCCTTTCTCATCCTGAAGATCTAATTAAAGCTGTCACTTTTTTCAGAGCGGCTTTCCTCAATTATGTAAAAACAGTCACCCCCCCCCCATAATTACTCTCTGTAATATGCCCCCATTTAGTGTTACTCCCTGTAATAATACCCCTGCTTATCATTACTCTGTAATATTCTGCCTTCCCTGTCTATTGCCAGCCTCTGTCATAGCCCCCCGTTTCTCCTTACTCTCTGTAATACCCCCATTTATCTTTACTGTCTGGGATATCCCCCCCCCCGACGCTTATTGTCTTCATGACCCCTGTCACAACCTTAAATGATCTCATCTATCACTTTGCTTGCCTTTTTTCTCGCCCTCCATTGGGACAGAAGCTGTTGGGGGCCACAGCACCATTGTCTGGGTCTCCGGTTCCTCAAGGTTGAGCATGGTGGCTGGCTTAGGGAAGGGGTCCTGGACATATTTGTGGAGAAAATGCGTGGAAGTCCAAAAGCCTGGTTCTGTGTCATTAGACAACCCCAATAGGCAGGTGCTCAAGTGAAGACTGTATGAAAGAATAATCATTGCTTTTTTCTCAAACCGTCACACTTTTCTATAGATTTTCAAAGATAATTTGCTCAGGATTAGTGATAATCTAATAACATGCCCCTTGAGATATAAGTGGGTCTGCTCTTTTGGTTCAAGATGGAGGACAGAACACATTCATTGACCTCCACTTTCCTCTAAAAATCCAGAAGTTAGTAAAGAAATGTGTTCGCGATGCACAGGCCCACAAGGACGCAGTGACAGGAGGGGAAACGCTGCCATGGTTGGGGCTGGAACACAGAGGCTGAGCGTGTCCGACGGAGCAGACCCCAGGGAATGGAATCCCGGCTTAACAGCAGGTGCACCCCTAAAAACGCAGAAAGTTGTTGTAGCAGGTGAGGCTGAACATAGGAAGCTTGGCTGAAAGGCTAAGCAGCAGTCAGACCCCCCAAATCTGCACCCTACCCCTACTTCGCACAGTGTGGTAACTTCCCTGCAGAATATTGGGGGCTTAGTCTCTGGAGCGCATACAAAATGCTGGGGGACACTGGGCAGTTAGATTAGCAGAGAGTGAGGGGGCTATATTGAAAACAGAGGGTTTAGCCAAATGGTTGACACAACACATCAAGTTCCCTGACTCTTGTCCCCACTTTTGGCTCCAGTGTGCTGGCAGCCGAGCTTGTACTTTCCAGGCAGGAGGTTGGAGGGTACTCATGTAGGAGCTGACCAGTCATGTGGAAGACCAAGGGGAGGGACTTCAGGGTCCCCACTTAAACAGGGCAACGCGATCACCACGCAGGGTGGCCCATGGTTGACAAATTGTACTTGTAAAGAGCTCCCAAACAGCTTTTTTGTGCCTGTTTCTTAAACAAGGGCAGATAGTTAAGATGGATGACTATCTCAGGAAAGCCTTTAATATGAAAAAAAAAGATAAAAACAAATAAAAACAAAGGAATTTGGAAGAAGGAGACGCTATGGAGGGAGAGACGAACTTTAGCAATAACAACAAATCATTACTGATATTGACAGAGATTTAAGAGAAGGCGTTGGAGCCATGAAATAATAGCAGATGCTCTAAAGAAGGAATACTAATGATTACTCATAATAATAGTGGGCTCTTAGAAATGAAAACACAGTAGCAGAAATAGACACTTATGAGTTGGAATACAAAAGTGAAAGAATTCCCACAAAAGTAAAATAAAAAGACAAAGAGATAGAAAAGAGAAGACAAAAGATATGAACAGCAGAGGATTAGACCAGGAGGTCCAATAATCTATCAGAAAGAGAGAGAAGGCAAAACATAAGGGGGAAAACATCAAAGTAATAACATTTTTCTAAGACCGAGGGATATGATTCAGATCAAAAGGGTGCATCGAGTGCCCAGACACTGAAGGGAAGTAGACTCAGGACCACGGTGACACTGGGACAGAGAGGAGCCTAGGAATTTTCAGACAGAGGAACACAAAAAGGATTCACGCAAAGGACCATGGATCACACATCATGTTGGCTCCAGACTTCCCAGCAGCTAGGACTCAGCGGAGTGGTGTCTCCCGTTCTGCAGGAAAATAAATTCCAGTTCAGAGTGCTCTACTCAGACCAGCAGACAATGAAAGTCTAGACGATTTTATGTCACACACTCCTTCTCATGAAGCTACCGGAAGTGTCACATTAGGAAAGCAAGGGAGTCAACCAAGGAAAAAGAAGCGTGAGAGCCTGGGAACCATCCTGGAGAAAAGGGCTGCCAGGGTGGGGGTGGAGGGGGACCCAGGGCACGGCCTCACGGTGGGTCCTGGGCACAGGCCAGAAACTTGCACGAGGGATCTTTCCAAGGACATGAAATGAAACCTTAGGCAATTGGGAAGGAGGTTGGGGGATGATTTTCGTAATAAGTCCATGGAAAACTAAGCAAGAGGAAAAAGCAAAGGAATTATTAGCTACTGGGAAAACCGTGTTGGAAGTAAGTCTGTAATCAGAGCTCGTTGCTTAGCTCAGTGGTGAAAAGCATGTTCCTGCATGTAAAAATGTAACACCAGCCATTCTCCACGAAACCACGACAGCACAGTCACACAACTGTTGAGAAGACAGAAGGGTGCACAGTGTGCATATATAAGGGAGCAGTGAAGGTATGGATGAGGGGCACTCACCCTAAACCCTCGTCCCCCCTATGAGAAGTCCTAGGCTATCCTCCAAAGTGTGGGGGGGGGGAAACATCAAGGCGCCGTGCTATAACATGTTACCAGGAGGGAAGGAGATAAATATTAAAAGACTCAAAAGTGGGAAAAGATGAGTGCGTGGGCAGATGTAGCTGTTTTTTTTTTTAACAAGTAGAAAGATTTGACTTTTTAGAACTCGGTGCATATGTAACTTTAATCAAAATAAAAGCCGATTTAAAAGTGGGTCTAATGCTTTTCTCTGGTGACACAGCCATTCTAGGAAGTTTTTCTGATCTCTCATGATGGGTTTACCCTCTCAGAAATTCTGTGGTACTTTTGACCTGCGTTGCAGGCCAATATGATAAAACAGACGCAAGAGTCAGGGCGGGGTGTGAGGGGAAAGCAGCTGTGCCCTCCAAAGAGAGAGGCTGTTCTATGGATGTTGTTCAGGTCACACCTTTGCCCCTCCATCCCCCTCCTCCCCCACCAATCAAACAGTAACCAGCACAAAACAACAGCAACACATAGCCAGCCTCATGTTCTAGTGCCCAGGGCTCTGGTGGCAACCAAGACGTCGCACATCATACAGGGGGAAATTCCTACTCTCCACCTCTGGTTGAATTCAAGCCAATCTAAAATGCACAAATATGGCCAGAAGATGACCCTGATGAAAAAGAGGCACGTGCAATATTTTAAAAATATTTAGGGATTTTTCTGTCTTTGGGAATTGGATTTTCCACTTCTTTCCTCAGCAGAAGCGGAGCCATTTTCCTTGACCAGGTGAACTGGTTCAAGGCAAATCGGTTTCCCGTGTGCGCCTTGTGCGATGAGGGCTCATGAGCTCAGAGCTGGTCATGAAGAGGCAAATAAACTCCTAGGAAATTACTGTTTGGTGATTTTATAATGTCAGGTGTCTATACATGTGTCTCCCGCTTTTTAGGTCGCAATCTGCACGGGGAGCCACCCTGTGCCACCTCAGACTCGCCTCTTGGTTGTGGGAGCAAAGAGGAGGAAGCAGAGGAGAGCAGACCAACCTCCAGAGGCATCTCCCCCAGCACAAGTTCAAGGGCTGTCAGAGAGACAGACACACTGACCGTGAAGGTGGGAGTTTGGATTTCGGGCTGTGTCTGCTAGCCGGGGTCTGGGTTTGTGTCTCTCCTTGCCTTGTTGTTGGTGTTCGCTGGGGCAAAACTTGCTCAGACCCCCCGCCCATGAGGCAAACAAACGCCTCCAAACCCTGTGTGCCCGAGAAATGCGTGACTGGCTCTGAAACCGTTGGGTTGACCCTGACCATTTGTTAAAAATAATAAGCATGGTGTTCATTCCTGAACGGAATCGAGATGCTGTCATTCTGTAGATGCCCCTGCAACATGACGTCACTGCCAGCCAGACTGGGGGTGGGGGGCTGAGGGTGGAAAAACAGAAAAATGCTGGTGCACACTTTGAAAAAAGCTCATCTGGAAAACTTTACATATGCGGTGCTACAGAACAGCTCAACCACACCACGAGCCGTTGTGATTTAAAATTGGAATCTGAGGACTGGCTGGATAATCGAGGGCTCTGGGTTTTCACAAAGCCAGGTGAAAATACACAGCCTCCTATCAGCCGATTTAGTGTCACCAGGGAACTTTCCTCACGTTAATGCACCACTTAGCTATGAATGGAAACTTATCGAGAATATGACATTGAAGTTCATGCTTGGTAAAGAATCATTAAGAACCCAAGACATTGTTTTCATGGAGGACCACGTTTCTGGCCACTAGTTTCTTGGTACCAATTAACCTTTTTCCTCCTCGTTTATTTTCCTTTGTACTTTGTTGCAGGGTCTTTCTCCCTCTGCTGATGAGTGTGGTGACTGTTGTCCTCAGAACGCCGCTGTGGGGTCAGTTATATCTCTGCCGTCTGGCTCCCGCATGACAGTGGCTAGTGATAGCCTTCTGTCTCGTGGCAATGGCCTCGATGTGGGATTGCTTGAGACACAGCAGCCACCCTCCCAGGAGCAAGTCTCAGCAGACCCCAGATGGTGCATTTCCTCAGATGCCCAAGAGCCTTCTTCCTTTGTGTCCAAAGGAAACTCCCCCCAGCATGATGTTGCTGCCTCTGCAGCTGCCAGTTGTACTTCTCTGGGGGCAAGAGCAGGTCACACAACGCTGGAAATTCACAGTGCAGAGCCCCTGGACCATGGCCGAACTGCAGGGGAGACCCTGACAGAGAGCTCCCCAGACAGAAAAGCTATAGCAGAGGGCATAGCACCGTCACTCTTGCCAAGGAAACCTTCACCTGGGCGAGGAATATCTGGTCCAGTTCCACTGAGGTCACCTGGAAAAGCTCACCTTGAAATACCAGTTTCAGGACCAGGTTCAACTAGTTCACACCCAGAGGAGGGAAGACACAAGACACTTTTTCCTTCTGGGGGGCAATCTGGGTGTGGGGAAGCGCTCGTCCCCTGCCCTCCTGTAGGAAATGACAGTGAGAAATGCCATGTATCTGGATTAATTGCTCTGAAGGATTGTGTGGTTCCTTCTAACCCAGGGCAGCCCACGGAAATCCCAGAAGCCCCTTCGAAAACTATCAAGAAGAGGAGTTTGGAAGGAATGAGAAAGCAGACTCGAGTGGAACTCAGTGACACCAGCAGTGATGATGAAGACCGACTCGTGATAGAAATATGAGGCCTCCAGAGAAAGATGGCATCTACAGTCAAAGACTCTTGTTGCTTCACAGTAAATGCTGTCAAGCTGGTGGGAGACCTGAACTCTCTTCGTGAAGCACCTAAAGATTAGGAAGCCATTTAGGGTTCTTTCTAAGACATCCTCAACCAACTCCAACCCCCCAACTCAGCCTCACCCTTCCCCAGATGCCCTGGGGCACATCTGGCTGGTGTTCACATGGTGCCAGGCTGGCCAAAGGTGGCAGTGAAGCAAAGGCTCAGAATGTTTGACACACGGTGACTGTGGCTTGGCTCTCCACAGCCCCCCACTGTCTCATCCTGTAAAATGGCATTAACCAATAGAACCACAATTGACACGTTTATCAGCAACTGAACCAACCCTGTGACCAAGGAGACTGACTGACTTCCTCATTAGTACACCGAGGGTTTGTGTCACAGGCGGTAAGCGTTTGTGGGACGGTTGGGGTGGCTTGCAAAGGAGATGGGGTGTGAATTGGGTACTGAGATACTTCTGTCCACTCTGGAGACAAAACTCCAGGTTCATTCAAAACCTGAAGTTTGGTCAGAACAATTCTCCTCCTTCGTGAAAGTTGTAAATACACTTCAAAATGTCTGTGGTCTGGTGAAGTGCTGACTATCTTTCAATGTCGCACAAATGGTCAACGCTTGTGTGTGATCCAGTGACAGCGCATGCACTGCTCTTGTGCCCGGTGCCTTTTCTGTTGAGACCTCTGAAGCTCTTGGTTTTTCCAGCTCTTGCAAAGGAACGTTGTGTTAAAAGTTAATGGCACAGTCTCTGTAATGAGTCATTTTTTTTTGAGGGGGAAAAAATTCACTTATTTTCCTGTGATTCTCCTCTGTCATATTGTGCTCTGAGCAATTTCAATTAGAGGGTTACATTTTAGTAATCTCTGCAGCTTAAATTGATGCCTGCTCATCGTGACGGGAGCCTTTTAGATTTCCTCCAGAAGCTTCAAGGATACAAAACTAATTGGAGTTTTGACGCTGTTTTACATCTCAGTAATTTTATTTTGGGGGCTTGGTGTTACTTTGCTGTCAAATTAAATCAGCCTCTGTATTGTGCAAGTCAGAACAGCACCGATACGATCCCCCAGCATTGCAAGCCAGCGGGCCCCGTGCAGAACAAAATAGCTGCTCCGACATCAGCTAGCTCAGAGAGCGAAGGCTCACGTGGACTGCGTGCCTCTCTTTCTCCTTCAACTTAGAGGTTTCCACTGCTGCATTTCAATAAGATTTTATACTTGTTTTTGGTATGATTTTGTACAACTCAAAATTTATAGCTATCCAAGCACTTTTGGCTTAACTTGGATGTAACAATGTTCATAGGACATCTTGTAGTTCAAAGGGAGTGACGCCAAACACGTCCCACATAGGAACGTACTTTACCACATTCTTGCCTGTGACCATGGATGGTCAAGTGTCAAGTATGTCCATATGAAATTCCCAACTTTAGGGTTATTCATCAAACTCCTCAAGGAGGGACCGGCTTCCCCTGGCGACTTAGCCTGTATCTGTGGTCATTTCATATGAGCTCATACATAGCCACGTGACTTCATAAGACAAACGTAAGAAGAGAGAAAAGGGATGGTAGACATTCACGTTGCGTACTTTTTGAACCAAACGAAGGTGAGGTGGTGATGGTCAGCCCTTTGAAATACCCATGACACCTGGATAAGACAGGCTGTCTAGGAAAGTGGTCTGAGTCCCGAAGGGAGGGAGAGAGGGTCTGACGTGGTTCTTAACTGGCTGGGGAATCTCGGTGAAGACACACACTCCCTTTGTGCCTCGGTTTTCCCGACTGAGAATGAGAGGGTTGGACAAGGTGAGCTGACTCAGTCTCTTCAGGCTCCGATCCTCATGAGGATGGAATGAGCAGCCCTCTTTTTTCCATACAAGGGCTTGGTGGCTTGGAGGTGGTCGCCGTGGGGAGGGGTCCTGCCCCCAAGAAGTTTGGGTGGGAAACTGAAGCAAAAATACATTTAGCCAATTATTGCCAAGAAAGAATGTGAGCTCAGAGATGTTTCGTCTAATTTTTTTCCCCAGAGTTCCAGGTCTGGGGGTGCAGTCATCCAGTTTATAAGTGTTGGTTCGTAATTTAGAAATTCAAAGCAAAAACAGAACACCACGGTGTGAGTGGAAGACGTGTCTGTAGGCTGAATTGGCTTGGGGGGCCCTGGTCACGGGAGAAAATAATCTTTCTCCTGGGTGGTTGCTGAGCTGTCAACTGGATGACTGGATCTAAGTCAGCAAGTCATAGCTCCAAATGGCACTGACCCCAGGATGGTGATGGAAGCGCTGTCCTTCTATGAGCCTCCATTGCTGGCTGCCACCTCCCAACCTAGATGAAATACGGCAAGATGTTGAGTTCACCCCACACTCCCTGTGTCTCTCTTACAAAGGTGAGCAGGTTGGCAAACCATCTTGTCTCAGCTGGCCATTGAGCTAGTGGGTGGCAATGTTTACAAGTGTTCCTTACTTTATGTCACCATGGATTTATGAAAAGCTATATTTCAGTGGCTTAAAACAAAGCAAAAATGTATTTTGAATGACCCTAGAGGAGATGGCTATTACAAATCATCCTAAGGTAATTTTGTGTGTGTGTGTGTGTGTGTGAAGAATCCTTTATAAAGCAACAAATGATCTCTGATTTTTATAAATCTTGATTTCCTATGGGTTTTCTTAAAGTGGAATGCAATTATGGGATACATTTTAAGGATAACATCAGTGACCTATAACCCAGTCTAGGTTACTGAAAATAAGATTTGGTATTGTCAATTGATGACTGCTGCAGTTTTCTCCTCTACAACTGTGTACTGTGGAATGGTTAAGGGAAAACAAATCTATTTTAGAACAGGGCAAACTAGGGTTTCTAGATCATGGCTCCCCCTTTCTCCCCAGTGCTGTTAATTTTATTGCATCTTCCGGTAAGGGTCTTAACCACTGGCGCCTCAGCTTCTTCCGTAGAGAATAGATCCAAGGATGCTGGCATGAGCTAATGGAAGGGGCACGCTGAATCCTTTGCTATTCTCTCGGGTCAAGGTGTGCAAATGCCAGGACCCGTGTTTATCTCTCCTGCTGTACCCACACCTGGCCAGATCTCACTTGTTAGAGATGCATGGAAAAAAGAGGTTGACGTCCCCCCTTGGCAACCTATACTATTAAGGGACTTTTAAAGCCACGTGGTTTTTGATGGACAGCCTGAAACCTCCTTCTTGTAAGGCATGATGGAGAACAATTCATCCATCCTGTTGGGTATAACCTTTGAGATTCTGGATGAAGCGAATATACCTTTAATTCACAGCCCAGGAGAACCTATGGCTCATTTGCCAAGAGATTTAAAAAAGAAAAAAAGATGGGAGGGGTGCCTCTGGATTGTAATAAAAACCCTGTCGGTAGCATGATAACTGGAGGCAAGTTAAACTTTCCTTCCTGAAGCCCCTCCTCTCCAGCTCAGATGGTGGAAATAACCTTGCAAAAATGCGTGGTGACCAATGGCTCTTGGCATGAAGGATGAATGAATGATTTGCAGCCTCATGCCGAAAAGTGTTTTCTTGCCTTTACATTCATTACTTAGAATGATCACATTAACCCTTTTCCCCACCCAGCATAGAAATTTGCATTTTGCACAAAATTTTCCTGGTGTAGCAGATTTTTATAGTTGTGGAAACTGTCATCATTATCAGAATGTCTGCGGCTCTGCTCCCCAGACGTAATTTATTATAGTATGGTGAGGTACCAATGGTTCTTCTGGCCCTACGGCGATTGGACTTCTCCCACCGCAGCACGCAGGGCTCGTGTGCTTTTGCTCACTTCAGTTGTGATTCCCAGAGTTCTTGTGAGAAAGACTCTTAGGCTTTTGAAACACTACATTTCTCAATACTTAAGCACAATTACTTGTCCTTATCTTTCAGAACTCATTACATATAGATATCAAGGACCCAGCAAATCTTGTCTGCTAGATTTGTACCCTGCACCATTCTTTTTACCCATGCCGTGCAGTTATGTGGGAATATACATAATTTGATCTGAAAAAGTACAGGGGCATGTGAGCATATTGCTTCACCAGTGGAAGGAAAGGAGTCAGGGAAAATAGCAACTCTCTGTCACTTGGAGCTAGAGGGTGACTCAGTATCTTATGTATGCAGTCAACTGTTCAGAACTTACTAGTCTGTGGATTGTTCATAGTCAGTGAAGCAACTGCCTTCTTGGTTATTTGTGGAAACTTATTTTCTTCTTTACATGGTTAAATTATTTTGTTTTGATAAAAATAAAACTGAAAATGAAAATGTCTTGTGTGATTTGTTGACATGTTAGCCAAAACTACCATAAGCACCATCCTGTACGAATTGGATATCTGATGATTCCCAAGTACTGAACCAGACATCCTGTCTGCCATATTGGTATCTCATTCTGCTCAACAAAAGGATCAGGTAATAGCAAATGATCACATGTTCTTTTGCTGTTTCCTGTTCCCACATGTCTTGTTTGTCATTGTCTGCCATATTTTAGAGTTCATAACTTAAAATGTAGGTAAACATTGAATCCACACGAGGGCACTATCCACAGTGCAATAATCCCAAACTTTCCCCCGTAGAATTGGTGTTTCTTGGATATTTAATATTCTTCATTAACAGAGAAAACATCCTTAATTCAAAACAGTACCTCCTTATGAAGATAATTCATGTACCCATTGCAATGGGAAGTGGACGTCTTTTACACACCAGCGCAATATTCTTCTTCTATGTCTATACCCCTTGAAGCCACTTGAAGTTGGTGCAGACACAAGACACTGGGAGAAAAGGTGGGAATGGGTACAAGGCAGGAACAGATATACTAATTGATGGATCTTAATAGCATTTTTGCTAACTCATCAAACTCTAATAATAATAAATTAATCCATTATTTCCAAACTTTCATCTTTTGAGAACCACCTTAATGCTTTTTGCCATATGTGTCTACAGATGGGTATCTATATATTTTAAGATTTTTATTAAAAATGCAGCTAACATACAATATTATATTAGTTTCAGGGGTATACCATTGTTATTCAACATGTATATACCTAAAGAAGTGATCACCATAAGTCCAACGACCATCTGACATGGTACCATGCTGTCACAATATTATTGACTATGTTCCCCATGCTGTACATTACATCCCCGTGATTTGGTTCCTGCCCTCCCCCCCACCCCTGGAAATTTGAACTTCTTATGCCCCTTCACCTTTTCTCTCCTTTTTAAATGGATCAATTACAGTTGTTGACATTCAATGTTATTTTATACTAATTTCAGGTGTGTAGCATAGTGGTTAGACATTTGTATAATTTAAGAAGTGATCCCCCTGACTAGTCTAGGACCCACCTAGCACTATACATAGTTATTACCATATCAATGACTATATTCCCTATGCTTTACTTTACATCCCCATGTCTATTTTGTAAATACCAATTTGGAGTGACTCCGCAAAAAAAATACCAATTTGGAGCGACACCTGGGGCCTGTGGAGTCTGATAGTTTTCTAAGAAAGAGTGCAATGCAAGGGGGGCTCCCTGCTCACAGAGAAAGTGCCTCCGGCTGTGCTGGAGTTGGTTGGAGCAGGTTCCAGCTCAGTCATCAGGGTGGAGCTCACCAGGTCAATCAGATTCAGATTTGGCCCTAAGCATAGGGCGTGGGCTCAACACAGGAAAGATAGCGCTGGCCTGCCAGCTGCTTGGGAGGAGGACCCCTCTCTCGGGTCCTCCAGGCCGCCCCTGAAGCCACACACACCCCATATGTCTCCGAGGGCCCCCGAGTCACCGTCCCTCCACTGGAGGCCAAGGTGAGTGACTGCAAGAGAGTGTGTCTGGGTTTCCCGCCATCTGCCTTCCCACCTGGATGGTCAGAATCCCCACTGTTTTTCACAGGCAGATGTTGCTCCTCTTTTCTGGTGTGGGGGCCTGGGGTCCCTTGCTCCATCAGGGGGAGCCTTCGTGGCTGAGATATGCCTCCTGACTCTCAACCGCCGCAGGGAGTTTTGGGGTCCATTGTACGTCTCCGCCCCTCCTACCAGTCTCGTGTGGCTTCTTCTATTATTTTTACTTATAGGACTTCTGAGCGGCTGGGCTTTAGACGGTTCTCCAGGTTGATTGTTCTATAATTTAGTTGTAATTTTAATGTGTTCACAGAAGGATGCAGGCCCAGTGTTTATCTGTTCCACCGTCTTGGATCGCTCCTCTGCTTAATACTTTTGTTTAAATGATCTCTGTCTTAAAGAAGCTATTATTACCCTAAGTAAGAATATCTGTGAAATGTCAGCCTTAATTTAGTAGTCATGTATATTTTCTGATATGCATTAAAATAAACTATTCAAAATTGTTCATCTAGGTACCAGTCAAATATCATCTTCATACTACCCGTAGTATGTCCCCATACTTGGGGACACGTTGAGTGAATTTAAGCGGTACATGTGTTGTTAGTTTCTCTGGTTATTCTAATTCCTGGTAAGCACAGCTCTCTCCCCATTTTTCTTTCCTCAAACCAATAGAACTGGTGACTATTGTAGAACTGTAGGTTTGTCAGATAAGTTTATTCAGTCAAACTTCACAGTTGAGTAATTAACATTGCAAATCAAAGGATTATCACATCTTTTAGTCTCAGAGGAATAATCATACAATGTCTTGTTGCATAAATATATATATTTTTGCTTTCATGTTTTGTTGGTTGGTTGGTGAGTACAATATGATATACAGGAAAACACTGTTAAGGATTTACGCCAAGCCACAAGTACTACCCTCAGTTCTGCTGAAAGACTTGCTTTCATGCTATTGAATTTGAAACAAATGGATTGGCTGTGCTGTCATGGAGAGTAACTTTCCAGGCTTCTGCTTGGTGACAGCCTGTTGGTCTTTGGGTTGTGAACACAGAAGGACTTGCTATGTGGTGTCTAGGACCTTTGTCTCCAGCTGTGACAGATGTCTACTTTCAGTCTCCCTCAGCTTCTGCCAGAGGCAAAATTCAACAGCCTTTAGACTTGAGCATCTGAGCATTAGTCCATGCGATTACTGCCCCGAAGTAGGTGAATTGTTTTTCTGTGTAAATACATGAATGAGTGGAGTCCTACAAGGAATTGGTGGTTTTGTATGAGCAGCATCTGGGACAGAGTGACCCAGCCCTGGGTCTGGTCACAGTGGAGATTTGGTTGTCTTCTGTGTGTACTTGTTGTGAAATGGGGTATAATTCAACAGAAATGAGGCCTCCTGACTCCGTTATAAATGAAAGGCCAGATAGCCAGTCTTGGTTTTCTTTACATACCTGTGTTCCAGTCAGACATGTTTGCTCCCCTACACACACACACACACACACACACACACACACACACAAGCATGTGCACCATACACTGAAGATCTACTCCAAAAGTTCTCTTCTTGTTAAAATACAGAATTGGGTGGAGTGGGGCCAATGAGCTAGGAAATGAGACAGTCACATATAACATGAACCAAAAAGGATCTCCTTGGAGGCAGGATGCATGGTGTCTTCATCTTGGTGTTCTTAGCAGCTGGAACAGTCCCTGGCTCACAGCAGGCATGAATGTACATTTACTAAATAAACGAATGGAAATGGCTCACTGTGAGTCAAGGAGAAGAAAGAAAGCTTATAAGATGAGGAATCTGGCCCAATCCCTTTTCTCATGAAGACTTATCTCACTACCAGAGATGAACAAAGACATCTAGAGAAGTTTCTGTCCACTAATTTCAGAATTTAGCAACAATTTTCTATTGCTTACTCCATCCCATTTGTTCAATCAATATTTATTGAGTGCTTAAGTATGTAGCAGGCATGTGAACATATAGGAGTGAAAAGGATGTATAGGATTCATGGGCCTTTAATTTGGGGGGAGGCAGCGTCAATTCATGAACCAACCAGGCAAACAAATATATAAAGAATATAATATCAGATGGTGTGAAGAGCTAAGAAAGCTAAGGAGATGTCAGAAAGTTTATTTCACCCTGATTCAAAACATTGAATGCAAATAAACCTTTTTCTCTTACCATCCCCAGTGGAGGAGGAGTATCGTCTTATATGTTAAGATCTGTCTCTTCCGTTTCATGCCTACAACGTTAGTTCTTCTCACATGAAGCAGAATGTTGCAGGATAGTGTCTTGCTGCTCTTGTCGTGTTTCTTACCCTCTTGGGAGCTTCAATTCGTGTCAGGAAGCATTGCCTCCACCTGAGCACAGTAACTTAGGTCTACCTGCACTGACACGCTGACTTCAGGTGCCTCAGCATACAGGAGATGAATGCCTCTTGGTTCCCACAGTAGCGAAAAGAAACCCAGGGGGGCATTCCTTTAGGCCGAATTTCCTTGAGAGAAGCCATCATATTTGATGCCTTGATGCTCTCAATCCTGAATTCTTTTTCTCAGGGAAGGTTCAGAGATCACCCTTACAGGTAGCAGTTCTCACAAGGGGGGTGGACATTAGACAGTGTCTGAAGATAGTTTTGATCTTACAACTTGGGTGAGGGGTGCTATTGGCACCTGTCAGTAGAGGCCAGAGACGCTGCTAACATCCTCCAGTGCCCAGGGCGGTCCCCACAAAGAAGTATCCAGTCCTCCATGCCAATGGTGCTGAGGCTGAGAACCCCTGGACTAAGGAGGCGAGGTCACAGACGATCAGAGACCCTAGAATAGCTCAGTCCTCACAATGATAACGCAGCTGGAGTGGAGAGAGAGGCTTACATGGGCAGGACCAGAGCGAGTCCAGACTCCACATCCCAGGCCAGCCATCTTTGCGCAGCATCGTGTCTGAACTCCCACAGTTGCATTAGGAGATGCCTCCAGAGCCTACACACAACAGGCTGTCTACTGGTTGTGGTTCAATTAACCACACAGCTCATTGTTTTTTGTTTTTTTTTCTTTCTTTTTTTTTTTTTTAAGCTGAGCCGTCCTGCTACCAGTTGGCAGCTCCGCGGCTGCTCAGCTCGGGCTGGGCATCAAACCACTGTTGCTCAGAGCTCAAACTCTTGAGTGAGTTCTTAATCAACTGAGCCACTCAGCCTGCCCTGTTTTTATTCTTTATTCCACTTTGAGGAGAAAGTGCCAGGACATGCGAAGGAAAGTTATGTGAACAATGCATGAATGTGCAGTTGACATTCAGGGAAAGTTTATAGAGCAAAAGACCAGATTTTACTAGGAGAAATACGGCCCAAGCTCCCACACAACCTCCCTTGTCCTCCAGGGCCCAGTGGATGAACGGAAATG